TTACTGACGAGAGAATATTTTAATATCATATGTTGCTGAGGTTTTTATATGAAACCCTAGGTTAGATAAAACAATAATGACGCTTTTGTAATTGAAGATACAAAAAACATGGCGTCATAATGAAGAGTTACTAATCACATCACAGAAAATTACCGGTTTATTGCGCAAAACCATGACTGCATTAGGTCAAAATTTCTTTTGATGACCTGACAGACCGTTATATAAATGCTTCCAATAAAAATGAAAAACACATAAAAAAAATTTCTTCAGACCATAATCTCTCTAGATTTCCTCTGATAGCTAGTTCTTTCTTTTTGTTATACTTATATGTATGCAAACTACATATATTTCAAAACACATATAATATGTCGATTGAAAATTTTGAATAAGTTAAATTTGCCGTACTTAATCAAGTTTGCTGTGTATAATTTTAGTAATCCATTTGATACCTAATAACATATATTGATCTTAGGTCAGATTTATTTAATAATTCATATATTTCTTAACCACAAGTTAATATTGTTAATATTTGATACACGTATGTAACTTATTGAAATACTCTCCGTTGGTCATAATACACTTTCGCCATGCCATATTTTAACCTCTAGATTCCTCTGTTTGTTTGGTTTTTTTTTTTGGTTTTTTTTTTTGGTTTTTTTTTTTGGTTTTTTTTTTGTTTTATTAGGTTGCTGTATAGTTTAAGTATTTTGTTTACTATATAACGGAATAATTATTACTGCTACCTGTATGACATTTATTATTACAAACTTGTAGTTACACTTAAGAATTCAACGTTTTCAATAGACGGTCCAATTTATATCATTTAATTGGAATATATTCAGTAAATATTTCATTTACAGTAAAAAGTGTAAGCTTGTTGCACTTAATATGGATATTGCTAATCACGGGCAATTTAAATCTGAAGAACTTGCTAATAAGAGTTTGGTTTGCCTCAATTTTAGCAAAATTTTTCACCACAAATCTATGCAGAAAACAAAACATGATTCCTTAAAAGATATAACTAAACCTGTCACTTTCTATATCTCTAGGTAACCATTTGCATCCAAGATACCTTTATAATCACGCTCAAGCTTAAACTACTATTAATATTGTTCGTCGTCCCCTAAATAATGAAGTCAATGCTAGCTACTTATAACCGGGAACCATAGCATCGTGAACAATAAACAACGTTTTTCACAACAACAGAGGCGTCACTCAGATATGAATTCTTAAAAACTCTCACCCAAATACCCTCAATCTCAATCGTTACAATCTAACAACATCAAAATTAAGTTTAGATTTAAACTAAAATCTATCAAAAACGTGACAATTTGAGTTTCCAGTTTTCAACTTTCCAATTCTCAGCTTATGTTCATATTATATGGATATCGTTAAGACCAGTGTGCTAATAACGCAAAAATTCCTGTAGCAGGGTTTTTAGGAAAAACGATTTATTTTGACACACCACAACTTGCAGTGTCATCATCCTGAATAGGGTTCCTGGTACGATGTGTTTCTGTTTCAGCACCCGAGATATGTTTTTCGTGGTGTAAGTTCTTAAGACATCAAAAAATTGAATAAATCATTCTATAATAAAATGACACATTCTACACGACGTTTTCATTGTGCTTTCCCTCGTGAATATAAAATCCATCAAAAAGTATTTCACCGCAATTGTAACCTGATGACATTGGGTTTTCTTCTTTATATTATCAATTCATAATGAAGTAATGTACCTAAGCATGATATGTAAATTTTCCGAGTGTGTCCTATTCTTTATAATAACATTTTTACTGAGTTTTTAACTGCAAAGCGGGTGTTTCGTGCATTGCAGGACAAACTTACCCTGTCAACCCTTGCACACACCCAATATCTTCCCTCTGGAATTCAAAGGATTCCGTAATATTTTTATTTCTCTTGTATATTTTTTTTTTATTTCAGAGTTTTATTCTAGTGTTGTCTAACTCAACCAAATGCATTTTAAACTTTCCAGATTATCAAGTGTTTATATAAAATGAATATAGTATATCGATGTTCAGTAAATATATCCAGTCAAGATATATATATAGACAGCATGTGAGTGAAAACAATCGGAAACTCTAAATAATGAGAGACCACATGTGTCAATAAGGTAAGCATCTCTTGTTGTATGCATCAACCTTCATACAATTCAAACGTCAAATCCATATTAAACAGGCAACACAGAACTAGACTAAATATAATGCTAGAAAGGTCATGCTCGGATATGTGAAATCAAGACAGAAGTTAAATATAAGTTGACAAACTGAAACACAAATCATTTGTAATGGTGACCATCTTACACATAAAGTAATGTTCGGTTTTTCTTATCACCCTGATGTGGTTATTTTTAGTTAAGTGTATACATTTTTAAATGAAATAACTAAAAAAGATCATAACAAAAACATAATACATGTAATAATGATAACTTAATATAAATTTGAATCTAGCACATGAAGACAAGAAAAGAAACGACAGAATCATTAAAAAAAAAAGAAATCGTGTCTTTTTAACAGTGCAGAAAAATCAACATAAAAATAAGAAGATGTGGTATGATTGCCTCTGAGACAACTCTCAACCACAGACAAATGACGAAGAAGATTAGCAAATATAGGTCACCGTAAGACCTTCAAGCATATCAATGGAAGATAGCTAATTCCCCGTGTAAAATTTGTTAAGCTAAAACAGTTCTTAGTAAGGAAACAAATGATAAGCTTTTCGCGAAAATCAAAGGCGGCATTCAGAACATTTAAAGTCAAAGTGAAACTATCAACGACATGACAAAAAAGAAGACAACAGGAAAAGCAATTTGCCTGTGTTGACCATAAATTGTATACGCATTCAGTACAAATAAGCATGATATCAAAAGAGTATTATCACTGATAGTAAATCGTTTTTACGCAGATTTTGGGTCGTTTTATAGTATTTGTGACCTTGACCATCGATTTGTTGACCTTTTAATCAATGGAGATCTTCATCCTTACATAAAAGATGTGTATATGTCAACGAGACACCACACCAACGTAATGTAACAAAAAACAAAGGAAATTTTTGTGAACATACTGTCTTCAGGTGTCTGTACAATATGACTTGCTTTTTATCGCCCCTATTCAAAAATTGAATTAACAGAGACTGTTTCAGCTCTACCATCAGCACCAACAATATTCAAACGGCCAAATACCATGTACAATTTATTTATTCACACAGCATTTCGAATCCTTGGGCGATTTAGATTTAGAACACTTCTGTATCATTGGCTTTATCATAGACTTTATTGCTGTCTATCACCGCGATTGTGCCATTAGCAATACCACGAATTCTGCCAGTGGAGCAGGCACTGCTTACATTTCCGAAACACCAGAATTCCGCCTAGTCTTTTTTTTTAATGTTTTGTTGAATTTTGCCTTAGTTAATAGTGGTGTGTTTAGCACTATTTTATTTTCTTATATTCGGCTGTTTCTATCAATTAAAGTTTTGTATATTCGTTGTGCTGTCCATTTGTGTTTTCATTCAAATTTCAGTGTTCGATAACTTACCTATACAGAAAGTTCATGAATTTGAAGATATCTTGTGGTTTGACAAAGGATTTACAAATAAGCTAATGTATCATACCTGATCACAGGATATGGTTAAACAGTATATTTTAACAGGAGTACCAAGCAACTGCTTACCATTCCAAAGCACGTGAATTCACCTCTACTCTTTGGTGGTGTTCATGTAAGTCGATCTCTAGTTTTTTTGTTTTTTTTACAACAATTTTCAACAACATTTTTTTTTAATTGTTAACAACTGGCCTATTTAAAACAACCATCTTATAAAAGGGACTTTGTGGGGTTTGAAGATTGTTGTTTTTTAGATGTTAATAACTGGCCTATATAAAACAACCATCTTATAAAGGGGACTTTGTGGGGGTTTGATTATTGTTGTTTTTTAATTGTTATCAACTGGCCTATATAAAACAACCATCTTATAAATGTGACTTTGTGGGGGTTTGAATATTGTTGTTTTTTAATTGTTAACAATTGGCCTATATAAAACAACTATCTCATAAAGGGGACTTTGTGGTGTTTTGAAGATTGTTGTTATGTTAATGTTTTCCTTTAAACCATGATGTTTATCTGCTAAATATTGTTTTTGCTTGCCCCTTGGTAGATTCTTTTCTTTCTTTTTTTTATTTCTAGATACCTTTTGAACTTTTCTATAGATTGCTGTATCATTGACGTATACCTCTTTCACATGTTTTATTTGTTACAAAAATACGTCACTGTTTGTGATGTCCTGTGCTGTCCGTCGTTAAAGGAAGATGTTCGTTGTTATTCTGCGGTTTACATGTTGTATCGACTATTATATTATTTATTTGTGCGTTTCTCTGTGATGAGCATTCTTGCGTGTGTTTATTCTGTATTTCTGTCAAGTAGTATTGTCATTTTAGCGATATTTTTTTAACATTGCCATAAAAGCGGGAGGTTTGGCTAGCCATGAAACCAGGTTCAACCCACTTTTTTCTTAAAATGTCCTGTACCAAGTAAGGAATATGAGAGTTGTTATCAAATAGTACGTTCCTATGAATGTTGACGTTTGTTTTTGTTGCAGTTCAGTGTTTCTGTTGTTCCTTTGTTTTCCTCTTATAGTTAATGTGTGTTCTCAATCAATTTATGACTTTTGAACAGCGGTATACTACTGTTGCCTTTATTCATTCATACTAAAGATTTGAAATTTACACAATTCAAAACTTATCCGCCAGTTGCAAATCTATCTATTTTTATGTAGCTGTTTTGGGGTTGGGTTTTTCTTACTATTTTTAGCTTTACTTTAATGACTTTACTGACTTTATTGCTCTTTAACTCAATTTTTGTTTGTTTGTTTGTTGTTTTTTTTCGTTTCTACCAATACTGGTGAGTAATGCATTTCTAAATAGGAAAATGGTCCATCATTTATACTTGGAAGCACTTTGATTTTGAAATAAAATGCAAGGTCAAAAGTCTGAGTCAAAATATTTATTTCAACATTCAATACCAATCGTTAATTCAAATAGTAATCGTGATATCTCAAACGTCAAAACTATTTTTTGTAAGTGCGATTTTAACACTCACACCAAAAGCACACATACACAAACACATATTCACACATATATATACTTTAACAAGAATTTAAAGTTACTATTTTAAAACTTCCAAGTGAGTCGATTTTAAAATAATAATATACTTTGTTATTTTTTTATAATTTTTCAGCAGGAAAATATTACGTAGAATGAAACTCAACTGAATCCACAGGTGGTAAAAATTTCTGAAAAAAATCAATAAATAATATTTAATTGTTGAAAATAAATTTCTGTACCTCTACCAAACCCTGATATAATTATTAAATACTAAACTATCAAATTTTAATGTGAAGTTGTGTGGCAGTTTTTGGCTATGTGTATGAGCTTGTGTTAGTGTGTGTTTTTTTTTATTTGCAAGGGGATGATTAATTGTTCTCTTTCACTTTTTGGCAGTTTATTGTACGCAATATTATAATTTTTTCTCTAGTTAAAAATGCATAGTTTATCAAAATGAGATGTAGACCCATACCGTATAGTAAAAATTAAAAGGCACCTGATAACAAAATGTGAAACAATACAAAATAGAAAAATAATGGCCACATTTATTCTAATAAAACAGTGACACTAAACGAAACACAACACGCATTCTATGAGTATTGCCTGGCAATACATAGTCCCCTACCGGTTAAAAATTCATTGTACTGGAACAAAATGCTAACATGATCTTTAACTTGTCATGATGTAAACTATATAACAAGTATCAAGTCAATATTTTCAAGCTTGATGAAAAGAAATATGGAAAATTGATTATTTGAGTAAATTTTCTAAGTCCAAGGACCATAACTCTGCAAAAAATCATCAGACCGGAACAAAATTCAAACTTGATCTGTAACTTGTAATGATAAAACTATATACCAATCATTAAACCAATATCTTCAAGCATGACAACATAAGTGCGGAAAACTGATTATTTGAGTGAATTATTTTAAGTTCAAGGACCATAACTCTGCACAAAATCGTCAGACCGGAACAAAATTCGAACTTGATCTGTAACTTGTCATGATAAAAAATACAACAAATATCAAATCAATATCTTCAAGCACGAAAAAAAGTGTGGAAAACTGATTTGCCCTGACTGACGGATGGACAGACAGACAGATGGACTTCGTCGGTAGGGGACTAATAAGGAAGGACGGAAACCAACGACAACTAATGGACTGCAGGTGGCTTATAGTTCATATCAGGCACAGAAAGAATGTGGCGGGGTAATCTAGTTTGTAAACGCTCTATCGTCCTTCTCTCTATGACAGTGGTGTCAGACAAAACATGGCGATCAACTGTAAAAAGCAATTGGAGATTGGAAAGGAGTATCCCCAACAGACAGTATCAAGAACAAAAAAAACTAATATAAATAGGGAATTTGTCCATGTGACACAGAAGATGCCCCCGCTTGCATGTAACCTTATAAAGGGAAACAACTTTTTACAACTCTAGAACAGTAAAAGTGACGCAACCCAAATTCGTACTTGATCTGAGATTTGTGGTAGTAAGCATTGTATATAAGTTTCATAACATTCGGTTGATGCAAACTTAAGTCAGAGAACGGAAACGAAAAAATTCAGTATTTTTTTCATTTGTCAAGGGACATAACTCTAGAACGGTAAAGGTGACGTCACGAACATTCAAATTTGATCTGTGTTTTGTGGTAATAAGCATTATGTATAATATTCATACCGTTAAGTTGAGGCAAACTTAAGTTAGAGAACAGAAACGAAAAATTCAGCATTTTTTCCATTTGTAAAGGGCATAACTCTTGAATGGTAAAAGTGACGCAACCAAAACTCTGTGTTTTGTGGTAATAAGCATTGTTTTAAGTTTCATAACATTTGGTTGAGGCAAACTAAAGTAAGAGAACGGAAAAAAAAAAATCAGCAATTTTTCCATCGGTAAAGGGGCATAACTCTAGAATGGTAAAAGTGACAACACCAAAACTCAAACTTGGTCTGCATTTTGTGGTAATAAGCATTGTGTATAAGTTTCATAACATTTATTTGAGGCAAACTCAAGTTAGAGAACAGAAATTAAAAATTCAGCATTTTTTTTTCATTTGTGAAGGAGCATAACTCTAAACAGTATAAGTGACGCCACCAAAATTCAAACATGATCTGTGTTTCATGGTAATAAGCATTGTGTATATGTTCCATAACATTTGGTTGAGTCAAACTAAAGTTAGAGAACGGAAACCAATTATGGGACGTACGGACGGACGGACGTACTGACGGACAAGGGTAAAACTTAATGCACCCTCCGTTACGGCGGGGGCATAAAAATTATGATAAAGACACAAATTATCTAAGCGTATTCACAGTTACTAACAGCCAGGTAAAAAAACATTTTATACTCATAAACAAACCATGTTTATAGGACTGAAATATCATTCAGATGCCTCGAATAGATTTAGAGTATGATGAATTGTATGTTCGGAATAACTATTAAACATGGATTAAAGTCATTAGGGAAATTTGTGTTGATCTGACCAACCTCACATAGATATACAGTAGTGAATCTTGGAGTAAGCTTTTATAGACAAGAGATTCGCCGTTATTTGATTAAAACACGTTAAAGCAATAATCAGACTACATGTATGCTTCACTTGTAGTATAATGCTAATTGGTCGAAGAACTCTTTAATGTTCTTGTTCAAGTAAAAAGGGATAACAGCTTATACTTCAATCAAGTCAATTTAGATAAAATAGAATGATGGCAGCATGTCGAAAATGGGAAAAAGGGACAAGATTGAATTAAAAGAAAGTGTGGACATAACTGTCCTAATCACACTTATGTTCAGAACAACGTTATATGTAGTAAGTAGTATGCTTGACAAAACTCCTTATATTTCAGACATATTAAAAGTAATACTCAATCTGGCAAGACAAGTCTAGATTTCTTCTGGAAATTCATTTAAAAGGAGTGTAAAAATCAGGATTGATGAAGAATGTCACTATCTTTGATGTCGGCAACTTCCAATCAAACTTGAATCCTTAAATATCGAAATCTCTGCGCGATATATGAAAGGAGTAGATCCAGTAACCACAATAAACGGCCCTGTACAGGTGTATTTTTTAAACTTCTATATTTTAGTATATCTAATGTGTATGTATTGCAAAACGTATTATTTTTTAATTTATAATAAGAAAAAATGTATATCTGCTTCATATCTTATAAATATATTAGCCTGAAATAGGAATAAATTTCATTTAATCCATTTTTCAAGGAAATTGTCACCTTTTCGATCTTTTTTAATTTAATATGTGGCACCACCCCTCGCTCAATAAATTTCGGTTGAAAAGAAAAGAATATGGTTTATTAAGAATATTTCAAGAAAAGTATTTGTGGGCGAAGGTTTGCGTCATTGTTAAGTTTTCATAAAACTGTCATAAGTTTTGCTAAATTATGCCAAATCAGCTTTTAACGAAATTCAGGAACATTTATGACGTCACAAATATATACAATAATGACGCAATTTATTAAAATCTTCTTTGACTATATCAATTTGACATTGTAAGATACGTATTCGTTAAAATTTACACAACATTGTTGCAGATATTTAGGGTCAAAATTATGAGTTAGTGTACCAAGTAGGCAATGATTTTATCTAGTATCTAAAAACAACTTAAAAACACTTGTCGTCTATTATAAGAGAATGGTTGCGCTCTAGATGTCTCAGATTTTTTCGATTTTTTTTTTAAATCGCAGGGTAATGACCTTCGTAAAACATCTTATTATGCAATAATGTATTCTCTTTATCTGGGAAACAATAACTATTTGATAAAATTTTGAAATAATTATCCGACTTAAACAAAACAGAATTTCACATGGAATTCTAAGATGAAGGATTTATGTATGGTCCTTTTATTAGTTACATTCATTTCAAAAATGGTTCAAACTTCAGCATAAATTTTGATAAATATGATCAGGAACTCAAGTAAAAAAAAGGCCATTCTTATTCGAATTCACCAAAGTACTTTTTATTTCATCTGTCTACAGACACACTAAAGAGCTACTTGTACAACTCTAATGAGGAATCTAATGAAAGTTCAATCTGTAGTTTACCTAAAAAAGGCTCAACAATTTTGATGTGTGTCTGTTTTGGCATCTTGCATCTCGAGAATAGAGAGAATTACAACACAATTCCTGGGAATAGGATTGCAAGATTGCATAGAAAGCTATTGACCTACAGTTTGTACCACCTACGTCACTTGATTTCTAGTAAAAAGTTGTTTCATTGGCAATCAAACCAAATCTTCTTATCGTTACATTAATCGCAAGAGCCGTTTCGTTGTGATGTAAAAGATTCAAATTAATCTTATACACATTTTCCTTCAATTCAAAATATTTTGTTGATAAATAAGTTTCGAGACATCAATTTAGGAATACAGACGAAAATCAATTATTTCGAAGAAATCATGTCTATAGTGTAAATAAAGGTATAAGTCATAATAACGATTTTAAGGATGCCTTCTTCACAGAAATTGTGAATCCAATGTTTTAGACATTCTTCAAATATAATTTCAACACATTTGGCCCTTAAAATTATACTTTGTGATATTATATCTAAAAACCAATATCGACGATCTACTATCTTCATATTTAGATACGCTATTCTTTTTTGTATATGCTATTTGGTTTCGACAAAGCTGCTAACTTCAAAGTTATTGCATTTTACCAGATTGACTGATTTTGTTTGGTCTTTTACCTTCTAAACAACAATTGCCATACCCATCAGCCAAAAAATTGTTATAAAAAATATGTATGGGTTAGGTAGGCACATATATTTGTAATCTAACAAATTAATATGTAAGCATAAAATTTCAAAACTTACTCGAAAATTAGACATAAAGTATGATTTTCATAGTAACAATACACACTGATGACTTTATAATGTAGTCATTACTATTGCAATGCGCCAGAGCTTGTAAAAGAAAACATTTGATAAAAAATGTAAAAATATTTGCCAAATATTTTTAGAATTTTTATCAAATGTTTACTTTTATTAGTTCTATTAAATCTATGGAATTTAAGGTCTAAAATTGGCCCTAAATGAACCCACCCCTTTTAAATATCACATTCTTATGCTCAAAGGCATACTTTTGCATTTAAGTCTCTAGCTAGCTGTATCATTTCTTTGTATGGAAATATGAGCTATCAGTCAACACTTTTACACCCCAATAAAATTATAAAAAGAAGCATTCATTTCTTAATTGGTTATTTCTAAACATTTTCAGAAAACAATCAATCTCTACATCAATATGCATTTCAAGACAACTGTATTCAAAAAATTTCAATATGGAGTATTGACCGTATGAGAAATTGTCACATTTCAGTCGACACACTAAAATTCTTTCATTTATCTGAATATATCATAACAGACAATGATGAGACATATAACACATGTGCAGACCATGGCGCGATAAATACCATAACTTTCTATTAGTCCAGATGAATAACACAAAACGTTCGAAGTTGAAGGATGTTATCTTATCTATCTTACCAATGCAGTTTCCTCGCAAGGGTCAAATGCAGACGATCCTGAACTTTCGGTAGACTCGGTATCATCGGAATTTTCTTCTTGGCTTGTATTTGCTGAAGACCCCTGAAAAAAACAATTAAAACTTTATCTTCCAAAAGCCTCATACTCTTTGGAAATGTTAACAGTCTAGAACACTGAAACGCTAAACGGCTTCATTTTAATTCGTCGCGGCAATACCGGAGAAACATTTACATCTTAAAAATAAAACGTTTTAATGTCTTAAAATGAATAATTTCAAACTGTATGAAAATGTTAACGGCATTATACTAAGTCAATCTTTCAGTATATTTTGAAAATGAAAATAAATAAGGAATGTGTCCATGGGACGGAGATGATGCCCCCGCCTGTACATAAAGTTATAAAGGGAAATAACTCAAGCTCAAAAAAAGTGACGCTACCCAAATGCATACTAGATTTTTTTTTTTTTTTGTGGTAATAATCATTCTGTATAAGTTTCATAACATTTTGTTGAGGCAAACTTAAGTAAGAGAAAGGAAACGAAAAATTTTACAATTTTTTCTCTTGTAAAGGGGCATAACTCTAGAATGGTTAAACTGACGTTACCAAAACTCAAAATTGATCTGTATTTTGTGGTAATAATCATTATGTATAAGTTTTATGACATTAGGTTGAGGCAAACTTAGGTTAGAGAATGGAAACAAAAAATTCAGCAATTTTTCCATTTGTAAAGGGCCATAACTCTAGAACAGTAAAAGTGACGCAAACAAAATTCAAATTTGATCTGTGTTTTGTGGTAGTTAGTACAGTACAGGCGTACAGTCGGACAAGGGTAAAGCGTAATGCCCCCTCCGCTGTGATGATGCTTAACCTGTCCACGCACCCTGTCTCGCTCCTTATGGAGTTCATGTGGTTCCCTTTTTTTTTTTTTTTTTATTTGTTTCTTCGTAACCGAATAACGAGATTTTCACATCGTTAAACTACTGTCGCCATAATTCAAAGACTTATATGCAGAAATGGCTATATTCATGTTTTGGTAAGTGAAACCCGAAAATTCATATAGAAGTTATAGAAGAATATGTGAAAGAGAATGTGTGACGAGGATTATGCAACCAACGCGCACAACGACGACAACGCATAAAGAAAGAAGTGGTCCCTGTGTGACGTTCAAGTGGAGCTATCAGTCAAAATAATCACGTTTGAGATCATAAACTCCAAAATGGACGAGATAGAATAACAGAAATCGTTTAGGTCAACCAACGTGTATCCAACTTTGATAATGCCCTTATAAAGATATTGTCCCCATTATGCATTATACCATAAATGACATCGCTACCATTTGCTTGCTTATGCAGCACTGGGAATTTACACCGTCAAATATCTCCTTTGTTTATACTTGGTACTGTTGGCTTCTCTTTCGCGAGATCTTTATTTGAGCCATGTATTTTTAAGCATGTAAATATTTCATTATGTAAACGTAATTGAATATATTGGAATTTCTATTAACATATTTATGATTATATCAACATATATTTCTTTCAGGGTCCCGAAATATTTTATTATTAATCACAGATATTTCTTTAAAAACATGCAAAATAATTTTTATGTCGAATTTTTCCTTATCTATAAACACTTGCATATCCTAAAAACGGAATGCAATTTCACATATATTGTAGAGCTTGACATCATTTGTTTATAACTTTTTTATCAAAATGCAATCGTCTCTTAATTTACATGTTTTATTCTCTTTCTTTTTCATGGATCTTATTATTGGCTAGTTTTACTCGACTTTTCATGAGCTACAAAATGACAACCCTGCACATTCAAACAGGTCAGGATTCCAAGAGTTTGAAGGCTGTCTCCATACATAAATAAAGGCAACAGGAGTATACCGCTGTTCAATAGTCATAATTTGATTAAGCAAAAACAAATCCGGGTAAAAATCTAAAACCAAGGGAAACACATCAACTATAAGAGGAAAACAACGGAACAACAGAAATACTAGACTACAACAAAAGCAAACGCCAACATACATGGAAACGGACTTTAGATAACAACTGCCATATACCTGACTTGGAACAGGACATTTAAGAAACAATAATAGGTTGAACCTGGATTAAGGCTAGCCAAACCTCCTGCTTATATGGCAATGTTAAAAATACCGCTAAAATGACAACACTACGTGACAGGAATACACTACAAACAAACGCAAGAACACTCAGCACAGAGAAATACATAGATAAATAATATGATAGTTCATTAAAACATGTAAACCGCAGAATAAAAAACGGAGACTTGCCATGAATATACGACAGCACACAAGGACACCACAAAAGAAATATAAACTGCGCGTCACATAAATGGATCTACATCACAAAAAGTGACGTATTTTTTGTGACGTTTATATTATCACAGGTAAATTTCAAAAATTAAAATATATTTGTATTATAGACACATTTTATGTATTTTGTAACCATAACAAGAATATTAAAATGAAATTGTGTTTGTAATGGTGCTATTATTTTTATTTTCTAACCATGTCGGTTTTTCTTCTTAATCAAAACTGTGTATAAACAAAAACATCCAGTGCATATAGTTGTTTTAAACTTAAAATCATAAAAATGATGTTGCTGATTTTTTATCTTAACTTTTACATACATATAGAAAATAAAAATAAAATAGAATGATTTAAGGAAAGATCAGGTAAGACCAAACAGTAAACACATGAAAACAAACAAAATAAAACAAAAACAATGTAGACGAACCGCGAGTAACTCAACTATACTGACAAACAAGGCATATGTGAAATGTACCCAAATTACAGATTTAAAACCACAAACGAAATAAACAGACACCAACTCAGCACAAAAGAAAATGACCCACCGGACCCACACGTATAAAAAGTAACAACAAAATGCCCGAAAGCGGGATATATAAATACCAAACCAAGTCGTATCTAACAGCGAACATAAGACAAAACAAGATATCCAACATGACTGACATAACATCATATACGGTATTAGTATGCAAGAAAACTTTACTAGATGCGGATTTAACAACAATTAAAAACTATATTTTGTTTGGGCTAGATTGGAAGAATTTCCATTTAACGTACATGTAATAACAATTTAAAACCTCTGTATATCTTTTCATTTGTAGTATGAAAACCCTTCTATCTTATTAGGATTGTAGATCCCATTTGCTGTTTTAATTAAAATACCTTTATAATATAGAACAAGAGAATCGGCCAAATGCAAATCTCCTTTTTTCAGTGATTTGATTTGATTCTATTGAAGTTTGTGTTTTTTGTAATACACAGACCTACAGACGGAGTCATAATCTAAAGAATATACCATTCAAGGTAAAAATCAAATACTTAGGGAATTGTAATAACTTCAAAAGGAGCGAGGCCACTAGTTTGCGCATAAAAATTGCAATATATAAATTATACATACCGAATGGACATTTGACATTTCAGATTCTGCAGGTCGCGGCGCGATATTCGTTGCTACTTTCCTTAATACATCTTGATTTTCAGGTTGAGTAACTGCCAAATGGTGTTCGTCTGTTGTCCATTGATTGTTGGGGTCTTTTTCTTTACTTCTTATTCTAGGCTTTACTGTAAGAATTATTTGTAGATCAAATAAAATTGAGAATGGAAACTGGGAATGTGTCACAGAGACAACAATCAAATTGAGAATGGAAATGGGGAATGTGTCAAAGATTCAACAACCCGACCAAAGAGCAGAAAACAGCCCAAGGCCACAAATGGGTCTTCAACACAGCGGGGAAATCCCGCACCCGAGGCGGGCTTCAGCTGGTCCCTACACAAAAATGTGTACTAGTTCAGTGAAAATGGACGTCATACTAAACTCCGAAATATATAAATGAACTAAAATTAAAAAAAAAACATAAAAGACTAACAAAGGTCAGAGGCTCCTGACTTGGGACAGGCGCAAACATGTGGCGGGGTTAAACATGTTTGTGAGATATCAACCCTCCCCTTATACCTCTAGCCAATGTTGAATAAACAAACACACCGCAAAACGCACAGTAAAACTCAGTTGAAAAGAAGTCCGAGTCAGATATCAGAAAGGGTAACAGAAGAAAATAAACAAAATGACAATGATAAATAAATAAAGGACTACTAGCAGTTACTGACATGTCAGCTGATTGAAAGATTATGTCTTCATCATATGAAAATCAAGCACAATCCCTCCCGTTAGGAGTTTAGTATCATACCATCATAAAATATATGAGAAGAACATAACCCGTATTATGCCAACAACTGTAACATATATCGTAATGGGCACGCCACCAGTCGTTTACTAATTCTTAAATTCGGTTAACAATTAACAGTATATGCATTGGTCCATGAAAACCTATTTGTGCCTTTTTGGTTCCTTTCTTCTTTTATAAATAGACTAAAGAACGTAAATGTGAGAAACACTGTCACCATAAAATTATAAAAAGTACTTTTGTTGTGGCATCGAAAACAAGATGTCTACTGTCATATTATCGTTTCAGCATAGAGACATAAGTGAGATTTGATGAAACCTTAATATGAAATAGAGAAAAAAAACTCATGAAAATATTTCAAATTATATGCCAATGTCTCATTATATGTTATAAACGGGATTTGTCCTCCACCGTGTGTACTGCATCAAAACTATTGATAATTTAGATCATAAGTCACTCTGATCCGCGAAATATATGAATATTTTCTTTTACAGCATTTTAGAGACGTTGTTTGTCGATAGCACTTTTCATAGTTTAAAAAAAACACCATGTATGTATTTCAAATATCTAAATTATGGTTTAAAGAGGAATTAGCTACGATCTAGACAAAACTTTAAAAAAAGGTTCTTTTTTGCTCAAGTATCAATAATTACATTACATGTATGTTTCATTATATTACGCTATTTTGATTGGCTAACAGCACTTCTGCAATTAACCTTCATTTTGAAATGAAATGTAACATTTAGGATGGCAGGAGCTTCCACAATAAAGTGCACAGGTAAATAAAAGAAAAAAACTCATGATCCTAGCAAAACGATGTAATAATGAGTATTGAATGCTTTTTTAGTAATTTTATCGGGATGTAAAAGCGTTGATCGTAAGCACAGTTTTAAAATGAAGCGCTTCTGCCCTTCATAAAAAATGTACTTCTGTCAACGCTTTAACACCCCAATAAATTTACAAAAAGAAGCATTCAATTCTTTAATGAAAGCGGAATTTGAAATACTATTTCGTTGTAAGCTGTCAGGTTGGTCCAGATTTGTCAAAATAAGCTTAAAAAGATCGCTGATGTAGTATTGACTTGCAAGTCAATATATCAACCTCATTGAATCCGTTTTTATGTGACCTTCAATTTAACCCCATAGCTGGATCGAGATCGGTTACGCTTGTACTAGCCGTGTTCAGCTATTAAAAAGAAATGAATGTTAGCATTGATAGTGAAACAAGTGTGAACTATTTGATGGCTGATTCGATCCACTAAAAAAACAGGTAAACACGATGATTTACATATTTTTAAACCTATATTAATAAATAAAACAGACCTAGAAAAATTCAATTGCACGTGCTCGATATCTATATGTAATCATAGTTATGTTTACACCGGGTTATATGACCGTCGGCAGTCTCGGATGGTCATCTCGATGATTAATTAGATGGTGTTTAGACTAAAATGCTCATGACACGCTGCTATATTTATCGAGTCCATACATTGTTAATTGTTTTGTTTTTTTGTTTTTGTTTGGAATGTTGGTAATCTGGATAAACGTTTCAGTATTTTATAAATCAAATATTAGAATTTGAATCAAATCGATGAACATGAATTTGGCAGCTAATGCCCCTTTAACAATTTTGTGGTGTAAAGATACAATACCAATTGCTCCACTTAAAAACAAGTTTCTTCTTTCAAGCACAATGATTTTTCACAAAAAATAAAATTTTGAAAATATGTTTATGTCTCAAGAAAAGTATCTTCATGTTACTATTTAAAAATCTCAAATACCTGTAGCAACGCTTGATATTACGTTAATTGCAGGATTTTCGATTATCATTGGAAGGTGCTCATTCTTAAAATCAAATTTCGAACTTCTATTGTCTTCATGTCTTTGTTGATCTACATCATCGATGCAAGATTCGTGGACATGTCTCAGATATTCTGTTCGTCTCCGAGTATATGGATCGGCAATTGATTCATCTACTAAAATATTTAGTGGTTCATCCACTGCTGACTGAGTAGTTTTATCCATTTTAGAGAGTGTCTTCGTTTGGGTATTTCTCAATTGCCGAATATCATTAGTATTTTCAAGTTGTCTCATTCTTGCCTTAACATTCTTCCGTGGCATATTTTCATATTTTGAATGCTCTTTTTCATCATTATTCCCCGCATTGCCAGATTTTTTTCTTTTTGACCTTGATTTGGCCTCTTCCACATTTGGCATCACATATGTTTTCTTTCTGCAAACATGTTCACCTTCAATTGTCATCTCTATCAACTTTTCATTACTTGACACATCATAAGGATGAATTAAATTTTGTTTTGTTTGTAATTCATTTTGTTCATTGTCACTTGAGACTAATGTTTTCTTATCACTGAATTCAGCGTTAATTCTATTTTTATCGGATGTGCACGTTCTTTCGTGCCGATTGTGTGAAATGCTTTTTAATTTTTGCGGTGCATTTTTTGCTTTACTTATATGTATTGGCTTGCAAGAACTATTTGGACTTGAACTTGAAATAAAATCTGTGAATCCCTCATGTGCTACAGATGAACTACTGTCTGTCGAACATTCGGGAAATGATCCAGCACCAGGTGAACAGTGAACTTCTGCAAAGTGATGTTTTTCGATTTCTTCTTTTAAAATTGAAACTTGTTTTTCTTTTGTACTAGTATTATCACTATGAATTTTATCTTCTTTGTTTTCTATGACACCTGACATCAATACACATGCTTCCTCGTAGGTGTTAGATATACTTCTATTGGATAATATATCTATTTCATTGTATTTCTTATTGTTATCAAAATCCTTTGAAGCCTTTTCATATGTGTGGCAATTAGTTGACCAGGATTCTGAAAATGTTTGATGAACTTTTGGAATTATTACACATTTAAGCAGATTTTTTTATTTTTAATTAACATAAACTTTACAATACTATATTTACTTATGATTTAATTTCAAAAAGATCAGTTCTTGAGTTCCAAAAATGAGCAAGAATTAAGCAAAACCCTTTTTCAATTTTATTCTTTATTGTTAATTTGTTGTTCCAGGTAAAAACCAACATATATAAGGAATTATATACTCACGTATACATAAACAAATTTGAAGTGGTTGATCTCTACGACGTATTTTTACAACGGCAACACAAACGATTATTGCCACTCCGATGATACCAATGATGATTCTAAAATGTCATTAATGACTAAGTTAACTCTATCTTATACACAAAATGAAGAATATATACAAAATAAATGTGCTTTGGTGGACTGGTTAGTGCTAATAACATGTATTTCATGGAGATTTTCTCTCGTGTTTCACTACTCTCTATACTATGTTAATCCATACTCTGTGGAATGTTAAAACGTCATTTCTGTCTTGGAGTGAATCTCAAAATTAACAAAATTAAGTTATGTTAACGCATAAAAGCACAATTATGTTTAAATTAATTTAATCGCTTGATATGAAGTTACATACAAAGGCAAAAACAGTGTCTTATAAATCGATTAAGAAGATTCAAGGTAAAAAAAATAATGAGCAGCTGCGACAAGAGCCAATGGTAAACCGTTATTGTGCATATCGAAGACGTTGCAAGAATAAAATGGAATACTGTTGATTTGTTATTATTTGGGGATTTCCGAAGCGCTTTTCTGGATTTACCTTTTATCGGGAACGCTTAAAGCCGAATATTTGAAAGTCAGTGTTAAAAGAACCGAACAGTTGAAGACCTATATGACCAAAATATGAAAATTTACTTAAATCTAACAACAACAGTGCCATATCACTGAATCGACAAACCAGATTTTTTTAGAAATCGAAAGAGAGCTTTCTTTAATTAATCCAAACAATAAATAAATATTTTGAGAGTCAATCCACGCATAGTGAAGTTACGGCGCAATATCTGTAAAAACACTTAAATCTTACGGTTTAAGTCCCATAACTCTGGAACCACAGAGTCAAAAAAGTTCAAAATCGAAATGGACTTTCATTCTGTCGATCCTTATGTTGTGTTAAAGTGATATGAGAACTGGAAAAGAAAATTTGAGTTTAAGTACGGACGGACGGACAAAATTGAGGGAATCGCATGAATTAAAAAAAGAGCAAAACCAGGTACGTCGACGTGTTCAGCGTCGCCTTCTTTGTATGCATCATTCGCCATACGAATCCACATTCAGTCAAAATTATATACGGTAGATGTGAGAATCATTTTTTTTTTTTATATTGATGAAACCATTCACCATAAACATAATGTACTTTTTATACATGATGAGATGGCGTTTGATTTATTTAATCACAAAACTTTCTAGTTTTTCTACAATTGAATGATCCTTCTCACTATGTTGGTTGCCGTAAAGGAATGTCTCAAATTGTTAAAGACATACATGTTTGACATCTTTTCTACTTTTAAAGTATGTGACCTTGACATTCAAATATTTTTTTTTATATACACGAACAATCCAAAGTTTCGTTTGATTTATCATTTATGTCGAACTTGAAATCCCACAAATACTTTGTATATTGTGTTATGTTTGTACTATTATCTTACTAAAATATTTGTTCTATTATCTTACCCAATAACAAAGCCATCATTTTGCTGTTCATTGGTACTTTGATCTAAAACAAAATTTGAAGAAACAAGTAGATATTATCAACCTTTATTAGAAACTGAAATACATAAAATAATAAATAGTCAGAATTAACCTATCAGCTATTGTAAAAGCTAAATTCGTAATATATAAAAGTAAGAATGAGTAAACATGCAAAAGAATTATCAGTTTTAGAGGAGATACGGATTTCCTTTGTTCGTTTGCCTCACATATTCTTTGTTACTAATACATAAGGTTTATTCGAAGGACTTTATAATATGATTTCATGATTTGACCAGAAAAAGTTGAGAAAAAAATTATGTATTTATGTTGAGTTTAGACACAGTTTTGTGCTTGATACAGTAATATGATGACAATACACTCTTTAAACATGGACACAATCAGAACTACTGCAAAATATATTGAAAACCAAAACAACAACAAATAAATAAAACACGTGTTCTAATCTAATTGTTCCTTCTTTACGAAAATGACAATTAGTTGATAAAATTTTGATCGGGAAGCTTGTTTAAGGATACTCGATTCCAGTTTATTAATAGGTAAATGTTTAATATCAAACTAAGTAAATACATCGCATTTTTACATCTAAGTCTCGGTACCTAGTTAAGGATGTAATTAGATGAAATTTTAAAAATCTGGAATTTAAAATTGATACTATAAACCAGAAGAGCGTTAGTTTAGGAACAAAATGAGCTATAAATATTGATAGGCTATGGAACTCCTTTTCGAGATATTTGATTTTTTTTTAATGGCGGGAAAAGGCTGACTCGGACTTTTACCTTATATTTAGCATGGGCATTATTTGAGTCTCAAATCGTAAGAAAAGAAATCTAGATTCTGCTTAAATTATGGTAAAGGACCTTTTATTAGCTATTGAAGTCTTATACGAAAAGAAATGTTTGTGATATGGGGCAAGATATTTTATCCTGTATCGCAGATACAAAAACCAAGGAGTCTGAACATCTGACAAAAATTCCCAAACCTTTGCAGGACTACATCCTTAAGGTTGCACTTCTGTAAGTATAGAATATGCAATTTCCCATAGGAACTCCTTTTACTGCTAAAACTGTGCCACTTTATCTATGAACTTTCGTACAAAATTATATCCTTGAATGGAAAGTTCATATGCACTACTATTTTTTTCAAAGGTCAAAATATAATGCTGTGCGGCATATTTTCAACATTTATATGCTTCGAACTTCTAAGAGTTTAACCTAATACTAAAATGTTTATGATTATATTTTTTTTGAAACGTCAAGTTTTCCTATTTTTAACCTCAATAAAAAAATGAAGATTTTGTATACGAAAGCACACGTTTGAGATCCTCTGATCGGACAGTAGTGTAGCTGTTATTTATGTCTACATTCAAACAGAGTACAAGCGTTCTCGAAAGCAATTTTTGCATGGGTCATATAATAATTCGCTTTAGGCAGTCATTTTGGTTCAAATTTGTCAAAATAAGCTAAGAAACATGGCTAATGAATTATTCACTTGCAAGTTAATGATTCGATCTCTTTCAATCCGTATTCATGTGACCTTCAATTAAACTTCTTAGATAGAGAAGGGTTACGCATGTACTAGGCATGGTTAGCTATTAAGAGGAAAAGAGTGTCAACATTGAAAGTGAAACAGTGGTAAACCATTTAGTTAACTGATTCAATCCAAAAAAGCTCATGTTTATACAGGTAAAAACGATGATTAACAAATGTTTTAACTTAAAATATGAAATAAAACAGACCTAGAAAAATCCAATTGCACGTCTTCACAATCTAATTGTATCTATATTTATGTTTATATCAGGTTATATGACCGTCGGCATTCTTCGGAGGTCACCTCGATGGTTATTTCGATGGCGTCTAAACTAAAATACACACGAAATGTTGATACATATTACCGAGTACATGCATCGTAAATTGTTTATTTTAGACTTTTTATAAGTTGTATATACGTTATAGTATATTATAAATCAAATATCAGAATTTGAGTTAAATCGGTTAACATGATTTTGACAGCTAATGCCCCTTTAACATGTCATATTATATATTTTAATTACAGATCAAGGTTACAGGTTACTTAACTATTGAAAAACAACCTTACAGTTTTTTTTTTCAGTTCATCATACTCATTTGATAACATAACTGAAGACTTGGTAAAGGAAACATGCTCATTTATCACAGAAATAAAATAAATCGAAAATGTGTCCATGGAACATAGATGATGCCCCCGCTTGCATATAATGTTATAAAGGGACATTACTCAAGAATGGTAAAAGTGACGCTACCAAAATTCTTACTTGATATGCATGAGTTTTGTGGAAATGAGCATTGTGTATAAGTTTCTTAACATGGTGGAGGCAAACTTAAGTTAAGAGAATGGATACGAAAAATTCAGCAATTTTTCTATTTGTAAAGGGGCATAACTCAAAAACTGTAAAGGTGACGCGGCCAACATTCACACTTGGTCTGTGTTTTGTGGTAATAATCATTGTGTAAAAGTTTCATAATATTTGGTTGAGGCAAAATTAAGTTAGAGACTGGAAACGAAAAATTCAGCAATTTTTCCATTTGTAAAGGGGCATAACTCTAGAAAGGTAAAAATGACGCCATCCAAATTCAAACTTGATCTCTATTTTTTGGTACTTAGCAGTGTGTATAAGTTTCATAACATTTGGTTGAGACAAACTAAAATTAGAGAACGAAAACCAGTACTGACGTACAGATGGACAAGGTTAAAACTTAATGCCCCATCCACGTTGGCGGGGGCATAAACATGTCTTCTAACAATCAAGGAATCCACATGGGAGATACAACACAACAATTATTTTTTATTTTTTCTAAGACTGTTCTCATACAGTGCATATATAAACTGACTGAACACACATGCATAAAAAATAAACTGACGGTTGAAACATGCATCAATGTAAACGACTTACAAATATGCATCAAAATGCGCTATATGACATATAAGGATAAAAGGAAAGCAACATAAATTTATGTTTTAATTCATTAAACCTGTTGATTAAAATGCATTATAGTTATAACTAAGTTCTCAAAACAGAAATTTGATATATTTTATTGCTTATTATATTACAAATATGTAAATCAATCGATAGCTAACATAACTAGTTGTTTCTTATATAGAACATAATAAATAATAAACCTGCTATTACAACTCAAGAATTTCATCTTGAAGACATTAATAACAAACACGGTACCAATTTGTCTGCAACAGGTGCGCACTTCAACAATCAATGTCTTCGAAGTGATGCTCGAGGCCAAAATATTTGAAAATTCAAAGCTTTTTAAAAGAGGAAGAACTAAAACCAAAAAGGACGAGAATGTAAAGACAAAGCCGGGCATAGAATCAGAGCTTTGCATGAGGGAGATATATTCCTTAATTTAAAGTAATTTCCAAAATGTTGTAACAGCAAACTTTAATAACATTAAATCCGTATTTACATGCCAGTACCGAAGTACTGGCTACTAGGCTGGGGACTACAAGTCCACCAGCAGAGGCCTCGAACCAGTGGTAGACATAACATAAACGGTACCAACTTTTCTGCACCAGATGCGCATTTTGACAATCAATGTCCTTAGATCTTCAGGGATGGTCCAGGCCAAAATATTTGAGAATCCAAAGCTATTTAAATAGATGAAAAGCTATAAACCAGAAAGGACAAACAAGCATAGACAAAGCCGGGCTAAGAATCAGAGCTTTGCAAGAGGGAGATATATTCCTTGATTTAAAATAGTTTCCAAAATATTGTAACAGCAAATTTAAATAGCACAAAATCCGTATTTACATGCCAGTACCGAAGTACATTAAATATCCGTATCATATGTTTATGAAATACATTAAGTATCCGTATTATAGGGAAAATAGTACTATTACATTTTCGCAACATAGGTTGGCCTTTTGTGTACACAAGGCAGGTGAAGGAAGTCAACTTAGGAGCGATGTGATTGGATGTAAGGGTACAATATATTTTTTTATTTATCTATGAATAACTGCAGTGTGTATATTTACAATATAAGTTTTGAAACCCATTGAAATATTTTCTAGAGAATTATTCGAAAAGACTTCCAAAATTTCATAAATTTGGTGTAAAATGAAGGTGGGCATGGATAACATAAACAAGCTCCGTTGGAAGTAGGTCTTGATACTATTTGGCTTCAATTTTTAAAACAGAATAACAAAGTACTAACACCATACATAACTGATTTGTCCAGGTTTTTATCATAAAAAATTTAGAAAATGTTAGTATTGTCTATGGCAGAATAAATAGTACCGTTTTCCTTATATATTTATGAAGTACATTAAGTATCCGTATCATATGTTTGTACATATAATGTAATGCAGAGCTAAACAAAACTTTTCACATTTATAAGTCTTGCATCATTTTCGTCAGGTTTGTTTGGGAGTCATTTGAGGAAGCCAAATACTTTGTTTTGTTGTTGAATTGTGTGTTAATGATCTACTCAACATTGGTTGCAGTTGATCCTGTTCCTATTGCAGTTCCATGTTGTCATCTGTAGTAACTGTTTTTTGTGTTTTTCTTTTGATTTTTTGTTGATTCCTTTTTCGTTTTCTAGATTTTCTCTTTTTATCCGACTGTTTTGTCTTAGCGTTCAGTTGTCTGTTAATTCGTCTGTTACTTTTTGTCAGTCTTTTTACTTCGGTTTCTAAGTTTTCCAGTCGTTCCATAATACTTGATAAGACTGAATATCTTTCATCATTACCATTTGACACTGTAAGGATAAAAACATCTTATAAATTAGTGGCATTTGTATATAATTTTATATATACTTAAAAATTATGTTTCTCGAAAATTCATTTATAGTATATATTCAAAAATATATTGAAACTCTAGTTTAAAATTGAAAAAAACAAATAAAAATAAAAACACAACGGTTTCAAAGAATATGAAATTTACCTTGGCTATCAATTGCCTAATCTACTTCGTAAAATTTGCTACAAATGAACCCCAATATTGTAAACTTGTTAAAATTTTTAAAGTAAAAAAAGATAATTTTCTTTAATGAAAAAGACAATTAACACATATGTATTATCAAAACATAATACACTATCTAGAGTGTAATAGAGTGATAAAGTAATATAGAATGTTCTCTTATAATGCATAACAAAAACTGATGAACAATCGTGCATAACATAAACTGACCGAACAAACATGCATAAATAAAATGACTGAACAATAAGCATAGCATAAAATGACTGAATAATCATGCGTAATATAGACTAACTAAACAAACATGCATAAAATAAACTGACTGAACAGACATGCATAAAATAAACTGACTGAACAAACATGCATAAAATAAACTGACTGAACAGACATGCATAAAATAAACTGACTGAACAAACATGCATAAAATAAACTGACTGAACAGACATGCATCAAAATGCGTTTGGTGACATATAATGAAATTATTAAAGCAATATGAATAGCATATTAATAAACAACGACAGTTCATTATAGGTTTTTTGGGGATAAAGCAATCATTTTCTTAAAAATTGCAATCAATGCTTATCAAATTATCCTTTATAATTTTTGACAAAAACAAAAACCAAACAATTTGAACTATTGAATCACATTCTTACAGATGTGGTGTCTTACAAGTTTTCGATTAAATAATTTTCTTCCATGTAAACGATAATGAATATAAAAACTAAATAATTTTACGTGTTTTCGTATTTTAATCCAAAAAACGAATGGGATATATTTGTTTCATGAAGAGATAGCAAAAACATAAATCGTCATTCTTCTTTTTCCTTATAATCACGTACACAGTCAGTGCAAGGAAATTTCAATCAGTCTATCATTCAAGATCGTAAGTTGAGATCTATATAGTGGTTTTCTTTGATATTTATTAGTTGCTGTCTAAATAGCATTTCCTCACATCTTCGTGTATTCTTTTGTATTTAAAGTAGTAATGTTAGTACTTTTTAAGCAATTATGAAAATGTAAGCTTTAAAAAAGCGTTATGATAAATGACTACGCAATAATAAGTTATTAACCTTAGTGATTTTTCTTATTTCAAAGTTTAGTCCAATTCAGTTGAAATTTGAATGTTTGCTGTGGCTTGATGGAACGACGTCAATCTACATGAAATGTGTCAAGAGCATGATTATGAGAAAAATGATTATAATATGCTTACAACATAAACTCCTAACTGTTACATAAGACAACTACTGACGATGTTCATAACTTATAACAGACAAATACAAATGTAGCATGGAGAAACTAATTATGTGTGATATTAACCCCTCTACCCTTTAATCTCGATTTGTGGCATAACAAAGGATACAAAAACATACAATTAAAATCAGTACACAAATCATTTAACTCAACATTCAACAGTATAAAAGACAACAATAAAATGCGTCGCTGTATGCAGCATGATTCGACCGTAGATGTCAAATCCTGACCTTTTGGGTCAAGTATGGACATATCAGTCAAGCTTGATACAACTCTGAATTTGGATTGTGATTAAATATTTGACTCACATAGGTTTCTGACACAGAATGAATGTGATCTAAGAATAACGTTAAATTTTGGATCCTTTGGACCTCAATGTGGACCAATTTAAAATATGGGCCAAAAATCAAAAAACTAAATACATGTTTAGATTCAGCATATTTGAAAACCCCAAGAATTCAACTTTTGTTAAAATCAAAATAAGTTTAATTTTCGACACTTTGGATCTTAATGTTGACCAAATTGAAAACCGGGACCAAAATCAACAATCTAAATACACGGTAAGATTCAGTATATCAAAAAACTCAAATAATTCAATGACCCTTTGGACCAATTTGAAAATGGTTAGAATCGGCATATCAAAGAACCCCAATAGATCAGTTTTTGACAAAATTAAAGAAACTTTAAAATTTGACCCTTTGGACCTCAATGTTGACCAATTTGAAAACCAATTCAAAAACAAAAATCTAATTACACAGTTAGATTCAGCATATCACAGAACCCCAGGAATTCAATTTTTGTTGAAATCAAACAAAGTTGAACGTTGGACCCTTTGGCCCTTAATGTGGACCACTTTGAAAACGGGGCCCAAATTTAAAATATTGGCTCTTATTATACCTCCTCCAGTTATATGGCAAGCTATTTTTTGTTTCCTGAAAGTGTGCATATCGACTTTCCATTTTTTTTTTTTTTTTCAAAACTAATTCGCTTTCAAAATATTTTGTGTGGGGGGTTCAGGGAAATAATTTGATGCACTGATGAGGAAGTTAATTTTTTTAACAATTTTGAGAGGTTTATTTGTTTTTTATAAATTCGCTGTTTGGATTGTCTGGCATTATGATAATCACTGGTATGATTATCCTGACGTACATTTTCACACGCAGATTAGAAAGTAAATGAATAAACATTTCACAAAAAGAATATGATGAAAAAATTTACACTTACAGCAGTATGTCACGACAATTATTACAACTCTTCCAAACTCGTCCATTACATGTGGATTTGGAAAAAATTCCGTTGTAAAGCCTGACTTTCCAGCGCAATTAGACGCGTCAATAAACAATATGCTAATCACAATTACATAAACGTTTTGCAGTATTGCATAATTTTGTTTTCTTTTTGATCAATGGACCTTGCTAAGCCATGCTTTTAATGTTTCTACTCTCTCTAAAGCTGTCTACAATATTCCATATATTTTGAGGTATTATCTGAAATACTCACTTTTATTTTTATCATTATTATCATTATTATTTTCTGTAGTTAGTTTGATTGCTGGTAGATTCTGCATTGTTCTAGCTTTACAAGATCTGTCAGTTGTAGTAGAGCCATTGTTAGCAATTTCTTGAGATTCGTGGCAACTGTAAAGAAAATAATGATATTAACACTTTTAAAGATATGTATAGTAATTTTGATCATATATTGCGTTTTCCATACGCATATGCTAGGAGCAATTTACGTGTGTTATAATTCTAAATATGCAACAGTAAAAAAATATTGCGTTGTCTATACGAATATTTCGGACCATGCCCTTCTCTTCAGATACTGTAAAATTTGATTTTTCTAAATTGTTCCGTTCGTTATTAAAGTCTTTTGTTAAATACATCGTAACTTTGCATGGTTATGGGTTTTATCGATAAAATGATATTACAACTTAAACACCTTTGAACTTTCAGAACCTCAAGGGTTAATTAAGGTATAGATATATGGTTATCCTTGAATCTTTCCCTATCCAGCTGTATGCCACTCTTGGTATAAATAAGGTGTCTGTTTTGCTGCTGGGGGTTATTAAATTTGCAGTCACATCCGGTCTGAATGGTGACGTTAAATCAGGTGCCTCGTGTAGGTTGAGTGCCACGCAAAACGTATGACCGTATCGAACCTATTTACTAGTGGCAGCCCAAATTTTCAGATTTATCCCAGTCTTACCTACCTTTTTTACAAATTGTCAACTAATTGTGAAAAAAGCAACAATTAATCGAGAAAACGTTAAGATGGTACGAACTGATCAAAAATATAAAAAAAAATACATCATATCAAAAGAAAAGGACTTATAATTTACCAGCAACTGGACCGAATTCGTGGTAATAAAATAAAGGCACAATTCAATTATGTATATATAATCCGTTTATTTGGCAATCGCCAATGGCAGTCAGCAGGGTTTAAGAACATCAGTTGTTCGAACTGCTAGTCAAATACGTTTTGTTAAAATATACTTTTTCACTCATTTGGTCTTTTTGAAAATGTTGTTTGTGCTGTATTTAGACCCCTCTACCAAGAAATTTGTTTTGCATGCACACGTATAAAAATTGCGGTTTTTATCCAACGCAATCATAGGTTTGAACGTTGTTTTCAATTTAGACTTGTTTATACTTTTTCGTTTGGGCTTGTATTATATTTGCCTTCGGATTTATATGATCCGTTCATCCTATTTTGACTCTTTCAAAATTTAAGAGTCTATCCTAAATTGAGGCAAATTATATGGCCTTCCAAATACCGTTTCGATTCCTAACATCACTGAAGAGACCGAGACATTAATTGTCGAAATCCGGATATGGTGTACAAAGGTTTGCACCTCATGTTTGCGGTATACCATATTTTCCGCAAGTTTATTGTTTTCTGTTTGGTAATAAATTAATAATAAAATCTATTTTGTTACATCTTGTGATCCGTTTATTTGGCAATCGCCAATGGCAATCAGCAGGGTTTAAGAACATCAGTTGTTCGACCTGCTAGTCAAATGCGTTTTGTTAAAATATACTTTTTCACTCATTTGGTCTTTTGGAAAATGTTGTTTGTGCTGTATTTAGACCACTCTACCAAGAAATTTGTTTTGCATGCACACGTATAAAAATTGCGGTTTTTATCCAACGCAATCATAGGTTTGAACGTTGTTTTCAATTTAGACTTGTATATATATATAGATTTACGGTATCAACAATGAATGCGATCATGGAAAGAGTAGTATGATAGCATTTTCCACCCATGAAACTGATTCCAATGAAGACTCTTTATGAAGATGAAATCACGGCAACATACACACGCTCAACATCTTCGGTTAAAATTAGTAATGTTCGTATAAGGTAAGTAGATAAGCAGCTATCCAACTTAGAATACAGAGCTAACTTGTAAAATACAACCAATTAAAACAGCTCGAAATTTATTATTAACTTGATTGCAGACGATTGATAGATAGAGGAGACACTTTCTCGACGAGGGGTACAATAGATACAGCAAAGGGTTAAAATTCATACACTAAATGCAGGACTATCACGACTTTAGTTACCTAGATTTGCGTTTACAGATGTGTTCAGCACTAGCTTCTTGTTTGAAGAAATCTTCAGCACAGGGCTCACATTTGCCTGAAAATATAAGATGTTTGTACATAATTTGTCAAAATGTGTATTACCGAATACCATTATAATACCCGGTTTTGGAATTCAAGTTTTATCAAATGTGTACTTGACTTCAGTATTTTTTCTTTGCATTTCTCAAAAGCATGTTTCTGCAAACCAAAATATATAGATTAGCAGCTATTTGCACTTGCTTTCAGATATAACTATATCAATTATCAATTATTTGTTTTACTTTAAGTTTTATTACTGTTTCGGATTTTTCCGACTTTGGACAAGTTCCGCGATCATATCATAAAATTAACTTGTGTCCATTACAATTGAAAAGAAAATACCAAAGCACGAAACCTTAACTATGAATGCTCTCTAATCGTGTTATTGAGTTGACATTTCCATGGTTTCGTTTCAAGCGCCACTGATGTAGAGAAAACGTATCTGGAGTATTGCATTATAAACCGAGCAATGGGTGTTAATATGCTGTGTGAAAGATGTAAAAATCGACTCTGAGTTAAGCAAGAAGGAAGCTTCAGACCATTAGCCATCAATATACAAAATACATCTCGACCAGCTCGTCTGCCTTCTAAAGATTTAAGATTTAAAAAACATACATATTTTCTAATGTTCTGGCTTTCTCCGAACAAATACGACAATAAAAATATCAACATAAAGATTTATACGAAACATATTTTAAACTTGAAAGACATTTTTTATGAAAATGAAACATGATTGTTAGATGATGCTAGCGGGAAAAGTATACAGTGGATAGGGAGACGTGCCTGAGGCAAACCTTATTTAAGTAAATGAAGTAATAGTAATTAACTTTTTCTATAATATTATTTGTAAAATTTGGTAGAATTCGAACTTCTTTCTGCAGGCGTCACACTATCCCGAAATTGATACTAGATGGCTATACGAATGTGGAATTTTGAATTTCGTGTTAAGACGGCCCCGAACTTAGCCAACAGCCAATCATTAGCCAAAGCAAAAACGATGCCTACAGAAAGATGGCACCCAAACCACACGAAGGCAGCACAATGATGTGAATTTTTATTAAGTTGTTTACCCGCAGGACATACGAAGGCCAAATGATTGCTACAATGCGTTCGAACTGGGTCGCGAAGGCGTTTCGAGACCTCCCGATGGTATAAAACCTTCGGCCGATCGTGGCAAATTAAATTTAATTACCAAACGATTTGTTCCTTGATCCTTACTGTACAAGGTATTTGAATTTCTATATGTAAGAAGTTTTGAATCAAAATTTCAAAAACAAAATTTTTTACTCCATGTACATTTTGCTTTAAGTGACAATGCAATATATGAAAATAATTTGTTCATCATCACAATGTTAGAGTCTATGTTTTGATTTTACTGTCAATGCTTTGTGGGAGAAATTACAGGACCATCCTGTCCAGCCATGGCACCGAAACAGCCTTTGGGGTAAAGTAGTGACCCAGGTATCTTCTAGATTGCCTCCCCTCCTGGTTTCCTGTGCTCCTTGCCCTCTCATGGTAAACATTCAAAAGTACTTTGTTATTTCTTCATGCCCCTGGGATGTCATTCTGGTTCTGATCCTACAATATAAAAAATAAGGAGATGTGGATGATTGCCAATAAGACAACTATCCACTAAAGCTCAAATGAAGTACAAGTCCATCAGGTTATTGTGGGTGACTGGATATCTCAGTCTGATGAGATTGTTAAGAATCAACCAAGTTGCGATAATTTTTCTGCATGTCTCTGGCCTTTGGTTCATGATCCTCAGCAAAATATTGAACTTGTATGCAAGAATAAGAAAGGCATTATCCACTACTCCTCTGGATCTGAAGATTCTGTAGTTAAATATTTTCCCATGGTGCTCCATCTTTCTGGTGGAAAAAAGGGTTTATCAGGCGCTTGTTATTCCCAAAAGCATTGTTTAATACTATGTAGTGTGGGACAGGAACGTCATCACCAGGTAGAGATTTCTCTTCACGACGATTGAATATGAATTCGGAATTTCCTGGCCTACCTTCCGTTCTGACCCATTATAGATAATGGTTACATTTTAATGTTGTGTTTCTGTTGTGTCGTAGTTCTCCTCTTATATTTGATGTGTTTCCCTCAGTTTTAGTTTGTAACCCGGATTTGTTTTTTTCTCAATCGATTTATGAATTTCGAACAGCAGTATACTACTGTTGCCTTTATGTATCATTGATGGAACTACCAGACCCGACATTAATCCAGAGAAACTTAATGTCTGCGTCGACCAGGGCCATGAGAACAATGGGGAAGAATCCCTTGTAATTTCTGTACACAGAGCCAGTATTCCAAGGACAGATGATCGCCATATACTTATCATCAAGAGCACCACAGCAGTGTGGAAATTGCCATCTCTTCTCAAACTGCTCAGCAGCGGTCGCCAACTCCTCAGTTGTAGTAGGACACTGGATCGCCTCAGCAGCAAACTCGGTTTTGAAGGCTTTGCAAACTTCATTGGTGATAAGGAAGATGACGTTTGGAGCAACTCTGACGTTGTAAGACAGGCTTGGATAATTTTCACAGCAGGCACAGTGTCGTTGACCAGGAGGAAGAGACTTTTTGTACCATGTGTCCATCTATATTCTACCTTTTATCCTTCATAAGACCTCATCGAAGAGGCCTCTGGAAAGTCTTATGTAGTTGTAGAAGGCCTTCTTATATTTTCTCTTCATCTCCTTTAGTAGTAGTTATCTTCTTTTGTCAAACACCCATTTCCATACCCACATAGACCTCGGTTTGCTCCTTCTCCTCGGTTTGCCCCTCCCCTGGAAAATAAAAAGCAAAACAAGATAAGTACATTGTCGAATGTTAGATAGCCAAATATCAAGAAAAGACAAAGTGAAATAAGACCATGTTTACCTTGTAACAGGAGGTGATGTGCCTGTAAGAGTTGCTCAAGTTCTCTGAGATGCATCAAAAGAAGCAATGCTACTGTCTTATTTTTCGTGGTTGTCTCATCATCAAAGTATGCATTTCTGCAGGAACTGAATTGTGATTAATTGTGATTGAAGCATTTGTAGTTACACACGACTCTAATCTGTAGAGTTGCTCAGGACCGTCTAAGGAAGATGCTCTGAGGCTGGCTTTTCATATGTCCACGTTACCATGACACATGTGACTCAAATTCGGCTGTCTTCGCCAACATCGTGGTTCAGTCTCGATGTCATAGTACTGTAATATGATGGCTACACAACGGCATTACGAGGGCTTCACGTAGTCTTGTTGCCTACCTAAAACAATCTTCTTGTTATCTTCGTATTGTCTTCGTGATGCGAAAAATGCCCGATGGCACCGATTATGATACGAGGTTAAGACGGATATGCCACGATTCGACAACATGCCTCACGATGCCCTTACGAAGTTCAAAATGGACAAACGAATTTATCACGAAAATGAACCTTCTTTCGAAAATTGTTTGGCATGCCAAAGATTTTGCTACCGCTCTCGGAGCCTATAAAACTCAACCGTCGGTAAAACGATGGCTTAAGATGCCCTCATGAATGGCCCAATGTTTTTACAATCAGACTGGAATATGAACATTTCCTTTACCGTTAGAAAAAGTATAATTGTTAAAACAAATATTTAAAAAAATAATAAGTAAAACGAAAGAAATAACTATGCCGAAAACCAAACAGTCAGGATTCTACGTCAAAATTATCTCCCCATTACGCCACTTATTTTTTCCAATCCTAGAAATGGAAGCCATTGTAGGGAAGGTGCGCTGTCAGTTAAACTTTTGAAACCCGATGAATTAATCTACATAGATTCATTACGATCGTTATATGACAGTTGTATTTTAAAAGACAAATGTATATACTAGCTATTAAGCATCATTTCATGTACTTTTATGCCTTTGGTCAACATAAAAATATTGAATGATCAGTTCTAAGGAAGAATTTTTTAAATTTCATAAACCCGTAAAAAACTTCTAATTAAATATTACATGGAAGGGCAATGTAATTACAAAAAAGGGTAAAACTTAATGCCCCCTCCGCTACGGGGGGGCATAAAAAGTTTACTTTATGAAATGCGTTATTTACTATATATGTTCAACATAATTATTTTTTTGTTGTCATGTAACTGTGTTTTACTAACCATTATCTTTAAGTTCGAATCCAGGACTAGAACATATCATTTCTGCTAACATGCAGTTATAAATATCATTTCCATAATAACCAAGACTTCTATCACAAATACATTTGCCATTTTCTAATCTAACTTCAGCTGAAAATTAAAACATTATCCTTACTTCACTCTACTTGTATTTAATAATTATGTTTAACAGAAAAAACATCAGCAGGCATAAAAACCGGGAAAGTGAATAAGTTCTCTAATTAATTTGAAGTAAATGGTTTTCAGAGCTTGTTGTCAAAACCTGTATGTTTATTTGTGTGATGTTATTTCATTGAAATAAAATCTGTTACATCAAAATACATTCATATTCTTTAGAGGTTTTCTGTCAATGATTATTAAATTCTAAGGTATTCCTATGAATGCACACGCATGTTTTAAGTCAATTTGGCGCCCCTGTTGTATCTTTTTAGTGTTATTCTCGATAACTTGTTCTTCAACTTTTAATATGTATTTGATTTTTTGTACCATTAACGAGAAATATTTTATCAAATGCACACGTGCTGTATCAAACTAAAATAATATCTTGTATTTATCCTTCATGTAAATTCTCACTGATTTTAATGAAAATATATATCCTACATGTAAATTATGTAAAATTCTAACGAAGGTAAATGTGCTGCGACAATATGTGTAGTCAATTTTATCAATAAATTCTGAACTTTACAAAACTTACGTTGCTCACAAGTTGGTTTAGGTATACATGGATCTAATTCTGTATTCATTTTTGAAGTGTCGATGGTGTCGAGATGATATGTGCCTTCGGGACAGTTTGAACAAGTATCAAAACTCTGATCGTGCTCACAAAACGCAAATGTTTGTCCTTAAATAAACCATTCAATGATTATTTAGACAGTAATGGGCGTATTGGTGTCTTGAGTTCATTTCTTTTGTACAGAAAAGAAAGAAAAAAACAAAAATACCCAAATCTCCTTAGAAATAAAGGTCATGTCGATCTGATTAGTCAAACCATTTCCACTTGAAATATTTCAGTGTGTTTTTATATCCTTTTACTCCACTGTCTCGGCTTTAGGAGAGTTGGACGCTAACAAACATGTGTATCTGTGCCTTTCCCACGTCATGACCAAGTTATTCAGTGGTTGTCGATGGTTGCTGCCTGTCATATTTGTATTTCGTTTATGGTTTTGGTATAAATCAGGCCGTTGGTTTTCTTGTTTTCATTTTTTCGTATTTTGTCATGCCAGTGCCTTTTATAGCTTACTATACGGTTTCGGATTTGCTTATTGTTAAGGGCCATACGATGATCTATAGTTTGTCTTTGGTTGATAGTTGTCTTGTTGACAATCATACCAAATCTCCTTCTTTTAAAATTTATTACCATTTCAACAACCATGCTCTTTCCATATGCATGTGCATTTCAGATATCCAAATGAACTTAATTAAGGATACTTCAGATGCAAGACGTATATTTAAATAGGAAGGTGTGGTATGACTGCCATTGAGAGTACTATACTTTAGCCCATTTACTAAGATAATGGTAACCTCTGTGTGTCCTAAAAATATATTCACCTTGTCGACAAATTACTGCGTAACAGCATATATAATTTCCTGATTTGTCTATTCGCCTCATTTGATTTGGTGTACATGAAGGTGTGCTTCTTACCACCTGAAAATCAATAAAATCAATCTTGATAAACCTAATAACGTCTTTTAATTTTCTTGAGAAACATATGTAAGATAAGTTAATTTAAAAATAAATGGGGAATGTGTCCATGGGACACAGTTGATGCCCCCGCTTGCATATCATGTAGTTATAAAGGGACATAACTGAAGAACGGTAAAAGTGTAGCTACCCAAATTTGTACTTGATCTGAGTTTTGAGGTAATAAGTATTTTGTATAATTTTCATAAAATTTGGTTGAGGCAAACTAAAGTTAGAGAACGGAAATGAAAAATTCAGCAATTTTTCCATTTGTAAAGGGGAATAACTCTAGAACAGTAAAAGTGACACCACCAAAATTCAAACTTGATCTATATTTTGTAGTAATAAGCATTGTGTATAAGTTTCATAACATTTGGTTGAGGCAAACTAAAGTTAGAGAACGGAAACAAAAAAATCAGCAATTTTTCCATTTGTAAAGGGGCAAACTCTAGAACGGTTAAAGTGACGCCACCAAAATTCACACTTGATCTGTGTTTTGTGGTAATAAGCATTGTGTATAAGTGTCATAACATTTGGTTGAGGCAAACTAAAGTTAGAGAACGGAAACAAAAAAATCAGCAATTTTTCCATTTGTAAAGGGGCAAACTCTAGAACGGTTAAAGTGACGCCACCAAAATTCACACTTGATCTGTGTTTTGTAGTAATAAGCATTGTGTATAAGTGTCATAACATTTGGTTGAGGCAAACTAAAGTTAGAGAACGGAAACCAACTTTGGGACGTACGTACGTACGTACAGACGGACAAGGGTAAAACTTAATGCCCCCTCCGCTACTGCGGGGGCATAAAAATATAACATAAATACCGAACTTGAAGGTAAATTCAATAAAATGTTCTGCTGGGCGCAGCTTGATGCGACCGCAAAAAACAATTGGGGCAATTATGGACACTACATTCAAGCTTGATACAGCTCTGAATTTGGATTGTGATTAAATATTTGCCATAACATAGGTTTCTGACACAGAATGAATGTGATCAAAGAACTGAAAAATTTGAACTTGAACTTTTACCTATTATGGTCCAATCTCCAAAATCTAAATACACATTTAGATTCAGCATATCTAAGTACACCAAGAATTTTATTTATCTATTTATCAGGTTTTTATAGGTTTTCGCTTCATAAAAAAAGAGATATATATACCATTCTGAAAATTAATTTACACAGAACAACAAACAAACCCTCCATGGAGATCTTTAAAAGATTGGAAAGAAATATTCCTCATTTAAACAATGTCTTTAAAAAATCTATAAAACTTACCTTTAATTATTTTTCAAAATATCTTATAATGAACAGTAAATTTCAAACAACATTAATTTTGTACATAATTTCGTCTCTTAAATCAGATTTGATGCTGCATTTATTTTTAACTATGACTCTACTTACAATTTCTATTAATTGTCCAATACAGCTCTGAATTTGGATGTTGATTAAATATTTGACATAGCATAGTTTATGACACAAAATGAATGTGGTCTAAAAACTTAAGAAATTGAAATTGGACATTTATCTATTATGTTCCTATATCCAAAATCTAAATACATGGTTAGAATCAGAATATCAAAGAACCCCAAGAATTCAATTTTTTTATAAAATCAAACAAAGGTTCTCATGTTGTACTGTTACACCACTGTCCCAGGTTAGGGGGAGGGTTGGGATCCCGCTAACATGTTTAACCCCGCCACATTCTGTATGTATGTGCCTGTCCCAAGTCAGGGTCCTGTAATTCAGTGGTTGTCGTTTGTTTATGTGTTACATATTTGTTTTTCGTTCATTTTTTGTACATAAATTAGGCCGTTAGTTTTCTCGTTTGAATTGTTTTACATTGTCATTTCGGGGCCTTTTATAGCTGACTGTGCGGTATGGGCTTTGCTCATTGTTGAAGGCCGTACGGTGACCTATAGTTGTTAATGTCTGTGTCATTTGGTTTTTGTGGAGAATTGTCTCATTGGCAATCATACCACATCTTCTTTTTTATATTTAAATGTTGGTCCCTGATTGGACCAACTTGAAAACTGGGCCTTTTGGAACTTAATGTGTACCAATTTGAAATCCGGTCCCAAAATCAACAATCTAAATACACGGTCAGATTCAGCATATCAAAGAACCCCAAGAATTCATTTTTTTTAAATCAAACATTGTTTAATTTTGGACCTTTTGGACCTTAATGTGGACCAATTCAAAAAGGGGCCCAAAATCCAAAATATAAATACATGGTTAGATTCAGCATATTAAAGAACCCCAAAAATTCAAGACTTTGAATTGAACTACATTGAAATTGGTAAAGAAATAAGCAATTTATACAAAGTATTAGGAAAGCATTGTTTTGCTCCCCTTTTTCCTAGACGATTAGGGCCATATGATAACCTCAAAATCAATCAGAACCTTCCTTTTTTTGGAATAGAACCTTGTGGTACAATTTCATAGAGATTCATAGACTTATACTCAAGTTATTGTCCGGAAAAGAAAAATCCTAGTTTTTTAACCCTTTTTGGCCACGAAATCCTAAACGGTATGGGCCTTAACCCCCCTCCCCCCCCCCCCCCCCCCCCCCCTCAAAAAAATAATTAATCCCAACCTTCCTTTTGAGGTATAGAACCTTGTGGTACAATTTTATAGAAATCCATACACTTATACAAAAGTTATTATCCTGAAACAAGAAAAAAATGGTTCTTTTGGCCCCTGTTTGGTCCCCAATTCCTAAACAGTAAGGACAATAACCCCCAAGATCAACCTTTTTCTGTCGTTCGGAACTTTGTGGTACAATTTCATAGAGATCCATACACTTTTACTCAAGTTATTGCCTGGAAAACAAATGACTTCGGACGACGACGACGACGCTGACAACGTGATAACATTATAAGACCGCAAAAATAAAAACTGACTAAAATTGAAACAAGCATACATGTACAAATAAATCTAACAAACACATCAAAACAAAATATTGCTGTAGTTCAAAGTAAATTTGACAAAGACGCCATAATAAAAGTTGAGATGCCCTCACTAAATAAAGGACCTGATTTCATCCTTGGTTATTGCTCAATCTTTACTTTATTGTGTGTATTTTGTTACTGTTGTGGTTTTTTTTCGTCGTTTTTCCATCTGGTCATGGAGCACGTGTTATCTGTTTTAATTGATTTTGAATTATTGAAATTTTTATCCCCCACCCTGGTTTCTTTTCTAAACTTTTTAACTTAAGAATTATTTTTTTTCATGTCTTGTTCTACATTCATGCAGTTAAACATGGGTATGTCTAGATCTTATATTTGTCAATAACACAGACAAATACAGCGTAAAATGCACTTTAATGATAAAATGAACAGACAGTATGACAAGAAAGAATTGTTTCAGTTTTTATATTACAAATAGTTATTTATGTAGATGAAATAGTTAAGGATTTTTCGGTCTTTAGCTTTCCCTCTCTTCTTGTGAATGTTAATTGAACGGAATAGAATTATGGTATTAACGCTTTATACATTGTAACCGTCTCGTCAAGTGGCAGTCAAAATTTCAACTCTAAATCCAGTTCTATTCTGCTTATTTGATTCGTTGTTCTTGACTTTAAATGCATGCCATTAGACGTTAAGCAATCAACAAACAATCAATCATTTTAAAGATACGATCCTTATTCTTATATACTGAAAATAAACAAATTTTGGTTTTGAAAAATATCTAACATTGATCAAGAATTTTGAACTTAGAAGAAGTTTTACTAAATTACGTGTATCTTCTCATAGATTACAAATAGAATTAGGTAGATATCAGGGTATTCCCCGAATTAACAGAATATGTAATAAATTTTCTTCCAATACCGTCGAAATGAGGCTCATTTTCTATTTGATTGTAACAAATTTGAGGATGATAGAAATTGTATGTTAGCTAGTATTGCAAAATATAATTCTTATTTTAATCATATGAGCAGTCAAAGCAAAATTATCTGTTTATTTAGTGTAGAAAATGTTGAGTTACTTAAAATAATATGTAATTTTATATACAAACATCTTCCTTAGTGAAGATTAGTTAAAGGAAATCTATGTGTGTATATACATTTGATTGGACATAGAAAATTATATTCATCTGAATATCACAAACATACTAGCCGATTAAAAAAAAAAAAATAATTGTTAAGATACATTATTTATTCAAATGTTCTCTTATATCCTTGAGGCATCGTCCCCTGGTATCAACTGCATTCAAGTTACCTGTGATGCTTCCTTGTTTGCTTTTGATACAGGTAGGAAAGAGACATTTACACACATTTTACATGCCATGGCCCATAAGGTATCGCCCCCTGGTGTCAGCTGCCTTTAGGAAACCATAATGCTTTCCTATTTGCTGCTGACACAGGATGAGTCATGGACATGCTTAATTTCTACTTTCTTTTTGGCTAATTATTATGTGTTTAATTGATCCAACTTTTTGTGTACTTTACATATATGGATATCTATTTTTCTTTTTTTTCTTTTTGGGCTGCTTGTTTGTTATCTATACCAACCACACTTGCAATAAAATGCATTAGTATTAAAAAAAAAAAAAATACTATAGATTCTTTATCTACGTATTCTTTAAGAACTTAAATAGTTCTCGTTTAATTTTTTTTTTATCTCATTGTTTGTATTGTATTATGAAAAATTATTGATGTTGTAATGTTTATGCCCTTTGGGGCCCATAATTGGAAAATAAAAAAAAGTATCTTATAATATCTTATACAGTGAAGTCATTTAAACAGACAAATCTAAAGGAAATACTTTATTTTATACCAATTTTTTTACAGTGTATGTCGATAAATTGTTTTTTTTTAAATATTTAGAGAGAAAAAAGACTTGTTTGTATACTCGACACCTAGAGATACCAACGCCTGTTACCAAGTCGATAAGTCAGGGCAAAAAGTAAGTTTAACACTCCTAATACAGTTTATGATCATTATCAATGCGTGTTACCAAAATCATATGATATTCTATATTTAAGATGATTATTTTAAAAAATCATATGATCTTTTCTCATGATTATAAGTATTTACGGAAAGAACGTTTATTAAATTTGGGTATATAAGTGTTTTGTGTATTGTTGGTTGTCTGTTTGTGTTTTTCTTTCATAACCATGGTGTTGTCAGTTTATTTTCAACTGATGAGTTTAAATATCCCTGTAAAAAAATATCAATTAAAGTATTGCTGGACATGCATGAAATATTTGCCACTGGACGCAACGTAAACAACAACCAATCAATCAATTAATGTTACTAATATTCTGCAACGGTATAAAATTTTAAGAATTGTCTACAATAACACGACTGCCGGGTAATACTCATTCTAAATTCATACTTCACGTTAAAATGCCAGATTTTGATCGGTTAGTACGAGAGTAATAATTTACTCTATCACTCTCAGCGGGAGACAATTTTTGAGTGTCATCCTCTCGTGCAGACCTCTAAAAAATAGATAATTTATTGGAAAATGAATTGAATTTGTATCAATATTTAAAAATACAATGCTCAAGTTCAACGTATCGGCGTCAGACCTTTTTCTGTCAACATAAAAACAAATACATCTTGCTTCACTTTTGTTGTTTTTCTAATGACTGTTACGTCGTTAAGTTCATGAAGTAATAGTTAATTACTTTCAAATTAATCTACAATTTATCAGGTAATAAAAACAGAGCATTCAGTATAATAAATCAAATAACACATAGCCTAGAGGTTGATAGACCAGAGAGATACTCCTCGGAAAACAAAGTCAACCTTGGCTGCGACTTGGTTGACAATGTTTCCTCGGAATAACTCTGCTCTATCACCCTCTCAGCTATGTGTTATTCATGTAATATCAACAGAGCTTAATGACGTACATGTACTATTGAAAAATTTACGTATGTCTTACTCTGACTTGACTATAGGTGTTGCTGTATACCTTTACCATGTTTACCTATTGTTCAACCAGATTGTAAAATTAACTAAACATAAAAAATAAGGCGGATTAAAAAGGAGGAAATAATTCATTCAAAATGTTTTGTGTAGCTTTAACATGATGATGTACATGTAAAATTCGAAATAATTATGGTATACCATGCAGTGTTTTTCTTTGAAATCTATTTGGATGTGTGTGCATAAAAAACTGTGTGCTCACACAAGGGAATGCATTTTTTATGAGATGGGATTTAGTTGATATAAAAGGTAAAATAAAATCAAAAGTCGGAGAAATAAGTTCATCCAACATGTTTCTTTTGCTTTAAATATGATTTTAAAAACAAGCATTCTGTGAGTATTGCATGGCAATACATAGTCCCCTACCGGTTAAAAATTCATTGTAATGGAGCAAACCTACCACTAAATTCTTCAAACAATTTACTAATGAAAAGGAAAAAAATCCAAAATATCATTTATCTTAATACAATGTCTTTTACAAATTTTTAAAAAAAAATGAGTTGTTTCCCTTTGAAGAGAAATCTAGTAGTTAATAAGTATTTCATCAAAAATTTAATTCTAGGGAAAGTTAAAAAATGAGTTAATTCCCTTTGAACAGAAATCTAGTAATTAATAAGTATTTCATCAAAAATTTAATTCTAGGGAAAGGGCTTTAACTGAACAAGGAGAAAAGCTAAAATCGTGAAAATCGAACTAGACTTGTAACTTGTCATGATGAAACAATACACCAAATATCAATTCAATATCTTCAAGCATGAAGAAATAAAGTCTGGAAAACTGATTTGCCGGACTGACGGATGGACAGACGGACGGACGAACAGACAGACGGACAGAGTGCAAACCTAAAGTCCCCTTCGACTTCGTCGGTAGGGGACTAATAATCATTCTAAAATTTGGGATCTATTATGAAGATGATTAACCAGCTGTTTACATTGGATATAAATCATGGAAATGAAATAAAATGTGAATACAGTAGATATACTTAAATCTAGTGATAAAGTGAAAAATAAAAGTAAAATATTTCAAAAAAATATAACGTGAGGATAACAATTTTGAATGTGGTATTTGAAAATTGTAATCATAATAAAATTCTGGATCAAATATTGTTTAATTGGGATATTTATCATGGAAAATGAAATAAAAATTGAATACTGTGAATATAGTAAAATCAAGTGATATAGTGAAAAAATATAAATAAAATATTCCAAAAAATTTGTAAAATGAGGATAATTATTTTGAATGTGATACAATGAATTGGAAAAAAATAAAAAATTACAAAATTCTGGATTTAATGTAAAAACATATATATTGAGTTATCTCACATTAGAAAAATCCAAAGAGATGAAAGAGGTCTTTTCAACAATATAAAAGAAATCCGAGCACTCATAGAATTTGGCTATGAAAACATTAGGAAGAAATGTAGTGCATTATACGGCATGAAATTAAATACCCTGCAAGTTTTTTTTCTTCCAGGTAATTTAGTTGCATGTCGTATAATGCACTACATTTCTTTGCTGTTCGGTGTGAGCCAAGGCTTCGTGTTGAAGGCCGTACTTTGACCTATAATGGTTTACTTTTACAAATTATATACATTCTTGTTCTGGCTTGCTCACACATCAAATTTGAAATAACAGTAAAATAAAAATCTCTCTTTTTTTCCTTCTAAATGTTGTGTTTCTTTGACAATTGTCTGGCCAATTACTTTAGGAATACATTCTTTTCAAAGAAAAAAGACTGTAATTACAATGTTTATTTCCTGTTTTAGGATTCTCCAATGAAAATCACGGTGAAATGATTTTTTTTTAATATCAGTAGTGTTTTGGCAAATATTAGAACATAATGAAATAAGTTTGCATCTTGTGGTCATACTCTAGCTTTATTTATACCATAAATACTAATTTAAACTCTATACATGTTATGTTATGTAACAAATATAAAAATAAAAGCTATAATGCCACATTGATAACTTTTGAAAGACCTATCCCAATTACGATACAACAGTTACAATTGAACAGGTGAAGTGATGGGACAGAATCCAGGTAGATTCTAAATGCATGATTGATAATCTATTTATCAACTCTAACAATACCAACTGGCCAATTTAAATGTCCCAATTGTATTTTCAATTTTACAATCTGGTTGAACAATAGTTAAAAGTAAACGGCAACACCTATAGTCAAAAGTTAAAGGCTATTGTTACGTTAAAAAGAAACAAGGAAAAGATGAAATCCAATGAATTGAAGTAAATTTAAAGTTCTGTAAGAAACATATTTGTAACAACTTACCTGACAAATGAGTAGCATCAGCAGTACTCTAAGAATATGACGCATCTCTCTGTCTCTAAATAACAAATATGATAGAATAATCTGGGTATATTTCATATTGGTATTATTTAAGTAGGTTTTTCTATATAAATTGAATTTTGAATAAAACAGAATATCCACCTAAAGAAAAGTGATATTCACCGCGATTAAAGGCATGTGCTTTGACGTGCATAATTATGGTTAAACGTTTCATGTACAATTAGTTTAAGAAGAATTTCCTTTAAATACAAATGTCTCTCTCGGAATACGGAATAAAACAGTTATGTCTTTTGTTTCGGTAAATATGTAGTTTAATTGACTTAAAAAAAATATTCATTTCGGTCGTCGGCCTCAGTGAATATTAGTTTTTCAGAAGTCAATAAAACCACATATTTACCTCATATAATATTCTAGGGGGAATATTGTTATTTTTCAATATATATGTCAGTATATTATAACCTAGTTAATAAACTTCACTTTGGTATTTGCCAAGATATTTTAAAAGCTTAACTGTTCATTTGTCAAGTCACATTATAAACACTTTTCCAGCACTTTATTAAACATCATTATCATACGTTTGTTTCAGTTATATAAATCTTAGAATATAAATGAAGAAAAAATAACCTACATCTCATGCGGTAGCTTTCTATTATTGTAATACGAAATCTTGCATTTTTGGGATTTTATAGCAGAATTGTTTTTCAAATTACTTATAATCCGGTTAACATTATGGATTTACAGGGAATTTCCAGGAAATTAGAGGTGTTAACCGGACTCTTGGAATCGCTATTGGTAGCCATTTCCAGAAACTCATTTCCGGGATGACGAAATTAATAGTTTCATAATTTATAAATTTATTAACTGTCAATTTAAGATAGGTACATGTATATAATAAAACATTTCAGTACCGAGTACTGACTACTGAGTTGATACTACCCTGGGGATTGATAGTCCACCAGCAGCGGTACAGACCCAGTGCTATGAAAAAAATAAATGAAAAATATATCCATGGGACACAGATGCCCCCGTTTGTAAATATACAGCAAATTCTGCAAATTTTCAACTTACATAGTACATAACTCAAGAACAGCGTAAGTGAGGCCACCCAAATTCGAGCCAGATCTGTGTTTGCTAGTAATAAGCATTGTGTTGAAGTTTTATAACATTTGGTTGAGGCAAGATAAAGTAAGATTGCGGAAAATGCAAATTTGCCAATTTTTCCATTTACAAAGGAACATAACTTGAGCACCGTGCAAGTGACGCCACCCAAATTCAAACTTGATCTGTATTTGGTAGTAAAAATCATTTTGTATAAGTTTCATTACATTTTGTTAAGGCAAACTAAAGTTAAAAACGGAAAGTAATTTTAGGAAATAAGGACGGACGTACAGACGTACAAGGGAAAAACGTACGGCGGGGGCATAATAAATCTGCGAGGCAAAACAAACATCGCAAAATAAAGAACTCATTTTAAACACACATTTTTTGAAATCTGAAATTTCTTTCGTACTTTTTAATCAACCGATTGATTTCGATCCTTCAAGATTTCTTTAAAATAAAACAAATTTAACGAACTTCTGATTGTAATGAACACTGGAGTGAAAAGTGTCATCATCAATGCAAATATTGTTTTCATTTTTATCAATTACGTGGTCATTTATGATTAAAGGATGACACTTTTGTTTTGGGTTTATGTGCAAATATGCAGAATGATATGTTCATACTACTCGTTTTGTCTTCATTCCTTGGAAATTGCAGGGGGGAACAGGATCTATGATTTAGTAAATAGATTTTACTAAGAAATATTTTAAGTTTTCTAATGAAATGTGTTTTCTTACCGTGTATTCCATTTGTATATTCATCCGAATTAGTTATAAAAAGATGTAAACAACATTCATGACATTGCGGTTTGTCTATTTTTAGACCTGATAAAGAAAGTTGGTTTCTCCACTTTGTATTGAAATAATACAATTTGTAAGATCAATTTGATACACTATGTCGATTTTTGTGATAAACATAATTCACACGAAACACCTGTTGTTCGATCGTGCATTGCTTCTTTTTAATTAGGTTTTAAATTACTAATGTACAGAATGGATTTACCAATATCTAAAAATAAACAGTGACAAGTTTAATCTCACAGGGTGAATAGTTACGCTGAAAGGGGCCCAGAGGTAACCTCTATAAATAGTGCTATTCTGCTCAATAATATTAAGGTTCTAAAAATAAACCAAAGATTCTAAAAAAAACTATACTACACTTATTTACATTGGAGAGCTAGCGTAAACTTTACTATACCTTTATACATTTATGCCTTTATCTTCGGGTCCTTAAAATAAGCCAAAGGCTTCTGCTGACCCCTCATCTTGGGTTGTAATGCAATTTCTCCTCTCATAATAATCGTATAATAATATATTTATATACATTATACTTATAAAATTAGAATATAGCAAAGTGCTCTCGACCAATGAAATTGTAGGATCTGATGCCTCTTAGTTGTGAAGAATGAATGCAAATCATGTTCTTAGTAAGGGATTATCCTATTATTCGGGTCTATTTACAGTTCAAAACAAAGAGTTTCTATAGATGAGTTACAACTGCCCCGAAGCACATTTATCAGATTGAAAGGATTTATCACACAGTGACTAAAAGTTGAATTGTGAAACAAAGAAAAAACTCTAAATAAGTTGAAGTTTACTGTGCAGTAAAATTGGTACCGTGAATGTTATGAAAATATTCTTTAAATTACTAAATAATTAAACAATATCAAAGCATTTGCAAAAAAAAGAAGAAAAAAAAGCTTTGAAATAAAAAAAACAACAACTTAATATTTAGCTTTCAAAAACTTTGATTACTGGATCAGCAGTTTGGAAGAATAGTTATTTCCAATATTCCGATAAAATAAAAAAAAATTAAACAAAAACAGGAATTTAATATAAGTTTTGAACATATTAAAAACTTTAAATGCATTTTATTTGAAAATTTCCCTGACATAATGAAATAGTAAAATTTTGATGTAAAAAGCCAGACCAAATTATTGGCTGTTAAATGAAATTTAGTTGTAACTCAAATGTATCATTTGATTTAAACTGTAAATTAAAAAAAGGATAATTCCTCACTAAAATATTACATGATATACATTCATACTCGCAATCAGGAAACATATACAATTCCTACATTTTCTTTGTTCTGTTGTGTCACCTAATATCTATAACGCATATTTTTTAAAATAATTCCCAAATGATAAGAAAGTCCTTCCACTAAAACTTATCCATAAATGAAATGCCTAAAAAGGAAGTCATGCATTAATCAAAAACATTGCACTGACAATGAAACTAATTCTTAAATACAACCAATTAAGAGATCATTTGAGAACCTTGACCACTTCACAATATTCTAAGTTTGTAAGAGAATGATAATCCCTTACTTCATGATAAGTACTCGCTAACGCTCGTACTTAATCATGACGAAAGGGATTATCATTCTCTTACATATACATAGAACTTATTTAGGTGTGCGCAGCTTAACAATTAACATGAACATATAAATTTATACGCCATATTCTCGCCATTTAATGCCGACTTAAAATTATTCAAAGTCTTTGCCGTCACTGTTAAATCTGACAGGTTATTCCACTGATCCACTACTCTAATTGAAAAAGTATTTAGTCTATGTGTCGTCTTACTGTTTCTTAAAGAGTTTTAAGGAGTGACCACTAGTATTATTAGATGGTGCTAAAGTAAATAGGCTTATCCAGTTTATATCATCTATACCATGCAACGCTTTATACACTTGATCATATCATTTCTATCCCTACGATATTCCAAGGTAAGGACAGTAACGACATGAGCAACTGGTTTTACCGTAAAATAGAAACTTTAGTTCAATTTAGCCTGTATAGAATATGTATTTAAAAAAGAGGAACGAAAGTATAGTAGATGTGTGTTTCATACATTTGTGATGGTGATATATATTTATCATGTTTATTCAAGTCTTAATTTTTGTTATAATATTTGAAATAGCTCTCGCCGCGATATAGACTTTTTGTGCTGATGCGGCGTAAAGCAATTACCAATAAATCAATATTCAAGTAAAACTTCACTTTAACAGCGAAAAAAGTACAATGGCCATTTATCCTTACAGGGCAAATCCGAAACTTCAAAATCTAGAATTATAAGTTCAAATGTCGTGTGATAGACTTATATGAATAAAACTACATATAAAAATAGGTATACAAAAGAAAATAATTTTTCACCAATGTCTTTCATACAATATGTATATGATATGTACATGTAGTCGATAATGTTATGATAGTTTAAACAATCAGTCATGAATATAAGCAAGGATAATAATAGGTAATTTGATAGATTTAATATATTTCTACCTTAAAAACAAAAAGATAATGACATAGATCTTCCGACACAATACAAATGAAGACAAAAGTTACTTCCAACAAAGTTAAGCAGATATTCAAGATATTTACGTTGGTTACCTCTGGTCACCTCACACAGATATTAACCTTGGCTACCTCTGGTCACCTTACATAGATATTGGATATGGTTACCTATGGTCACCTCACATTGATATTGACCTTGGTTACCACTGTTCTCCTTACATAGATATTGACTTTGGTTACCGCTGGTCACCTTCCATAACACAATTCCATATTGCAGTCCTAAAAATAAAATCGTCCAAATCATAATTGCATATTGATATTCTAAATTGTTTCCAAAAATTAGTCGCCCTGAAGATCATAAAAAACATTTCATTAAAATCAAATATGTCAATAAAGGTTCTTATTTTGTAAATATTGCGGGTATTCTTAATGATCATTCCGTTAAAAAACAAATTCCTGGCTATTTTGATAATACTGAGCTCCCTCTTATTTATTATGTGTACAAAACAGATCTACCCGGAAATATGTGTTTAATTATATCGAAGTGTGTAAAGATATAAATATCAGTGACAATACACCTACGTAATGAAATTGCAGTAATTCCAAATACATTTATGGCCCCAGTTCCCATGTAATAGCAGGAGACCTTGCCATCGTCCATGACCGAGAGTTGAAATCATTCCTCAGTAAAGTACCTAAATATCGAACCCCCCGTCAATTATCAATTAGAATGAGTGTCGTAACATCATCCACGACTCATTTCGTACTTACTGAACGAAATGGATAAAACGAAATGGATAAAACTGACCAAAATCATTAGATCCTTATTTTAATTCACTATTGAACATAGTTGATATTCGTATTAAACATTTTTAAGAACATTTCCTAACAATAAAATTAATAGCCCTATTTCTCGTATTAAGGATGTACACCTCTGATGAGCCAAAAATTTCTAGAATAAAACTTTTTTTCTTAACCTGATTGTTGAGTTTATATGACTGTAAAAAAATAATTGGTGAAGAAAAAATCTTATGGTGGTGCACTTCTTTTTTTGCTACGGCCCTTTGAAAGTACCCAATTTTGATGATTTTCCCATTTTTTATCAATTTTTACCTATTTTTGGGCTATTATCGTGAAAAAAATTACAGTTCCACAATTAAACTTTTTTTCATACTTTCAATAAAGATGAAGTGGACTAATCTGAATAAATTTAACTAAAAAAACTATAGGTAGGTGTTAATATAAGAAAGTTTTATCATATTTGATGCTTTTTTGTGTCAAATTTACCATGCTGTCAATTTTGTAAATTTGTGATTTTTCTCAGTTTTAAGATCAAAATGCAAAACCTTTTTGTTATAAATTATTGAAAAAATACATATCTAAGAAATTTGAAAAGAAAGAAAAATGATATGGGATGTACATGATTCTGGTAAAATCTTTTTTTGTACCCCTCACTCATTTTCTAAAAATTTTGGCTAAAAAGACTGACTTGATTGGTCGTAAAAATTGAAAAATTTATTACTCAAAAACTACTCATAGTAAATACACAATGTTTTCACAGAGTTAAGTTTAATTATTACATTTTAAAATTTCATTGATATTTTCCACTTGTATCACATGTTTTGGAAATAATTCCAGAACGAGATTTCAACGAGACTGAAACGTCAGAAGAATACATCCTTAAACATAAGCTAAAAGAACTCGCCAAGGAATTTGTTTTTGTTCCGGCTGATAAGGCTGCCAATAATATCATTATTGTTTGACGTAAATTTTACATTGAGGTTCTGCAAAAGAAAATCACGAATTTACAAACATTTCAACTGACTCCATTTACGGAAAATGACATCTGTAACAAACATAATCTTTTAGCTACCTCTTTAAAAGCAGAGCCGAGAAACATGAAAATTCCAACTATGTATTGGCTTTCAAAGCTGCACAAAACACCTTACAAATATAGATTTATTCCGTCTCCAAGCCATTGATCCACTATTAAAATGTTTATTCTACTTACTAGTACACTTGGTACAATCAAACACCTGGCAATAAATTGTTCAAATAAGGCTTTTGAAAATAGTGGAATTAATTACTTTTGGAGTATCAAAAATTCGTTGGAAGTACTTGATAAATTGCATGCTCATAATTTCAAATCTGTTCAAAGTCTTGATTTTTCTATCCTACATACCACTTTGCCTCATAATCTCATTAAGAAAAAAATCACACACCTAATTAAATGGGCATTTAAAAAGTCAGAATGCGGATGTATACGTTCAATCTCTTTTAGGTCATTTTTTAGTAACAACAAACAAAAGAATTATGTCATTTGGGCCTGCTTTGATACGATAACTGCACTTGAATTTTTACTTGATAACATTTTTTTTCGCTATGGAGATTCCGTATATCTTCAAGTTATCGGATTCCAATGGGAACTAACCACTTATTGCGGACCTATTTCTGTATTGTTACGAGTAACAATTTATGAATAAATTCAACAAAGATCAATCGAAACAACATCTGATACAAAAATTTAGATATTTTGGATGTTATATTGGCTCTCAATAATGACGACTTCAGTATTTCCACTAAAGAGATTTATCCTGCTGAACTGATTTCAAATAAAGCTAATACTATCAATGATCACTGCCCTTTCCTGGATTTGGATATCTATATCTTTCACGGGAAGCTTAATAC